TGTTTCTGCTGTGTTTTTGCTTTGACAGTACAAATCTCCAGTGTTGAATGCTCGAATTTTGCCATTTTACACCTGATATACTGTTGTCACACACACACACACACAGTGCATCACTAAATATTACTTTCAATGTTTTTGAGAACCATTTGCATTTTGCACTAACTGTGTGCATTTATTCATCATTTCAATATCACAGAAAGAGCAAGCTGTCTTGGATTGAAACCACCATCAGTCATAGACAGCAGAGTGATGTCATGATATATGGGATGATGGAACTTGAAATCTGACAACATCTGGAGAGCCATAGTTTTCCTGTCTCTTGCCATATGACACGAATATTTCTAATACAAAAAGTCATTTTATTCATTGTTTACTTGTGCCCTCAATCAGTTTTTGACTGTTGACTGTTGGCAACCCTGAAGTGAGCCTATCAGGGGTTTTCTTGGCAATATTTGTTTAGACAGGATTCCTCTGAGGTTAAGAGAGTGTAACTTGTCCAAGGTCATTCAGTAGGTTTCCATGGGATTAAAACCTTGATCTCCAGAGTCCTAGTCCAACAACATTGGCCCTCTATTGTTTATTTAGTTTGTTAAAATATGTATATCTTGCTCTGTATTCTGAGTGTTTATGAAATTGTTTAGGCAACTTAAAACAATTTAAAAATTAAAATTGTAGCAATAATTAAACAATCTAAAAGCATATTAAAACATTTATCAATTTAAAGGGAACTGAAACAGTGCCAATCCAAATCATGTGCATATTCAGATTTGGATAAAATCAAAGAACCTGAGAGCTTTAATATAAAGGCGTTTTTCCCCCCTTGGGGGCCTCATCCACTAGAGAAAAAAATCCACTTAAAATCCGGTTTCTGCCTCCTGCAGAATTCTGCAGGAAGCAGAAACCAGATTTTAAGTGGATTTTTTCTCTAGTGTGATGAAGTCATTGGTGTTATACTGAAGCCAGCATTGACACTAGATGAGCCTGTATGTGGAAGGGCTTTCTGCAGCCAGAATGCCATATCCAGTTGCTTCTGTGTTGTACTAGTGGGGCCTCCACCGGAAGTCACATGACGTGTGATGGCAGGCATGGAGCTCCGTCCCTGAAACAGGCTGGAAGGATCCAAGGTCGCTTGATTTGATCAATGTGATTAAACAAAAAACTGTGAGTAATAGCAAGCCCTAATAAAATGAATGACTTCCTTCAGAAGTTGCCACAGTCATCCTGCAAGACCCAGAAAATTCCTAGAGAGGTGTTCTCTCTAAGAATTCGCTAGGTTCTCCAGAGCAACTCTAGGTAACATCTTGTTGAAGGATGCCATAGAAACACCTGGAGGATGTAGGCAAGTTTGTTGGAAGTGTGTAGGTGAAATCATAGGTACTGGTATCAGGGGTACAGAGGGTATACTCTATTTGATGGCTTCATGATGGCCTGACGGCTGATCAATGTATCTTGAAACAACTTGGAATACTAAGGTAGCCCATCTCAAATGGTAATTTTTAAGGCAGTTTCTACATTACCTCATTTGTTTTTCAGCTTTGTATAAAACACTTGAATTTTCTACCTTAAGCACTAATATATATATATATATATATATATATATATATATATATAGAGAGAGAGAGAGAGAGAGAGAGAGAGAGAGTTTATATATATATATATATATTCTGATTAAAAAATGGAAGAACAGAAAATTAATGAAAATTAATGCCTACACCGTGGAGAAAGAACAATTCCAACATACAGAACAGATGGAGGGAGGGAGTTGCTGAGTAACAACGTGGCCAAGATAGCACAGCTGAGACCATTTAAAAAAGAACTGCACTGTCACATTATCCAATTTTTGACAGTCCCCAAGAAAGCAGTTTAGCAAGCCTGCCAACTCTGAACTGCAACCGAATGAAGGACAAAAGCCTCTGGAGAGATTAAAATTCTTGATGGCATTTTTTTGGAAGAGGTAATGAGAAAAAAAGATGACTGCTAGCAATCTCCTTTCTGTCAGAATTACTCAGCCCAAAACACTAAGCTGTTTTTATGCCCAGTGCAATTTTGACTCTTTGAGCTATGTTTTGAATGAGCCCCTTTGACACCACAGGGTAATATATAAAGCCAAGCCCTCGATACACACGGCTTATTTGTGAATTATATTTTTCCTACAAAGATCTTTTTAAGAAATATGTACTTTCATTCATAGGGATGTATCCACAGTGTATCAGGCTCATGCAGCCTAAAGTGTATACGTCATGTTTATCAAAGGATACATCTATGATGGATAGGTACTCTCTACTGTCCAGAGTAAATCAAAACCACATCAAAAATACAAACATACACATGTGTACACAGCAGTCTGGGATTTATTTAGCATCAATCTACCTTGTCTAGGTCATTCAGGATAATACTATGGTTGAATATACTTTAAAAATCAAGAGTATTAACATGGATGAATTCCTTATTTATTTATTCTTACTTGGGGTGGCTTATGTTTTAGGAGATTTTTGAATAGCAATTTTTAGTAAAGATGAATGCTTTTGTTTGATATGCTAATTGATTTTGTTTTTCAAAAGGAGGCATCCACTTGCTTATTTGATTTGATGACATTCAATAAACTAAACTAACAGGTGGAAAAGAGTAGCAATTTTAGCATTGCCATTATAGGAAATACTCAAAGAATACAAACCCTCATTTTTAAATATCATGCCCTAACAAATTAGGCTTCTCAGACTGCTGAGGAAATCCAATGAGAAAATAGGAACCATACTTTACATTTCATTGAAATTACAAAACTAAAATGTATATCCAGATGTAACAATAAGTAGTTACTATAATTTAAAATGAAGTCTAAAGGCATCTGATTCTATTTGATGTTGGAAGCAAACCAGGGTCATCCCTAGTTAGTATTTGGTTGGTAGACCACCAATGAATATTAGGTGCTGTGGACTACATTTCAAAATGAAGAACTGGCAACCACCCCAGAGTATTCCTTGCCTAGGAAAACCCTATGACATTCCTGGAGTTACTATACATTGACAGCCGAACAAAAGGCACATATACCCCTCGTAGTTTAAGAAAAGGAGACCAGAGTACAACCCCCATATCCAAAGGGGAAGCAATGTGATGAACTGGAGTTGAAGTCCAAAACACCTAGAGAGCCGAAATTCGCCTATGCCTGATATAGACCCATGGGGGCCTTTTTGAAAGGGCTTTGGTCTCCTGTTAATCAAACAAATCAATCCTTCCAATTCCCATTCTCTTCCAAGATACATCTTTCTCCTTTCCCATTCTTTTGAATTTCATACTCTTAACAGCTTCAGAAAGCTATCCACTGTTTTCTAAAACACACACACACACAATTTATTTCACCTGGCACTTTTTCTCCAATTCTGATATTTCTTCCCAGCCTTCAACCTGAGATAATATAACCCTGGCAGCTTCCTTGTCTGATGTTTTTGTGAACAAAGACTTGAACATGATTTTTTTACTTTATTAGGAAGTTAGGCTGCCCTGTCCTTTTTGTTTTCTTTTTGTCAGCAGACATAAAACTTTTTTTGCTCAGGAATTTGTTAAATGGTCATTACAGAAAGTCTTTCAACTGGAATGTGCTGTATATCTATCATTTTTATTATGTTTTAACTGCCTGGTTTTGTGTGAATGTTTTTAAATATGATTGATTACTCAATTGCTTTTTAACATTTATGTTATCAGTTGGTGTCATATACATTTATTAAATTAATAAATAATTCATATGCCTGGAATGCTTTGTGTTTCAACAGGGGAAATTTATTTTATTCTGGTCCCTTTCCCCCATTACTGTTAGTTGCATAGAACAAATTAATGGTAACCTGAGTGGCGGTCTTCCTCCTGCATTTGAGTAAATGAATGACCCACCTTACCTTGACAGCAAAGGTGTAGACTCCTGTTATGCAGGGAATATGAGTAATTTGGCTGTGATGTAATTGATTTGTGTGGACGCCCAGAGGCCTTTACATGAATGACACCTCTGTTTGTACATAAGGCAAAAACAATCAACTTGGAAAAGAAAGGGAAACTTGTCGGAGTAAGTAAAATCAGCTTAATATCAACTGCAGCCTGTTTTTATTTTTTTTACATTTTGCCAATTTCCCGAAAATATAGCTATGCCCATTTCACAAACGTGTTGAAATTCTTTTGAAATGATCACTTCTGTGGGCATTGCTGTGGTCACTTTTTGTTTTCAGACAATGTTTTCAAACTCTTCATGTATTTTATCTGCATCTATTGGTTATTATTTATTGGTTATACTTGTGATCCTACTTTTCCTCCAGTGAGCTTAAAATAATGGATGTGGCTCTTCTTCTCCTCACTTACTCATCATGTTAACCTTGTGATGCAGTTTAGGTACAAAGAGAAGGGCTGGCTTAAGATCATCCAGGTGATTTTCATGGCTTACTGGACACTAGAGCTTGGATCCCCAAGTCTGAATACTTTAACTACTGCACAATTAATTTATAATGCTGAAAACCTTTGTATGAATGAATTGTTTATTGTACTAGCCATAGGCCATGACATCAAATAATATATAACTTTTGAAAGTACAATAAGCACTATAAACATTAAAACTTACTTTATATACTGACTTTTTAAAAATTACAGTAAATTACAGTAGCAGTGACATGATAACAATAACAATGTCTGATTTGTATCATCCCCAACTATCTTCATTTCCATTTCTAGCCTCCGCTGTAGACTTTTCTAATTTAGCGTGAATGTTTTGGGCTGTAACTGCAAATGTGGCAGATCACTGGCTTGGATGTCAGGGCAAACACAGAAGGCCCTATGAGAATGAATGCAGCTCTGAAAAAGCGAACTACTTATATTGGTTCCGCAGATATGGGGATTGCACTGTATGTTGCTTTCTATTTTTAAATCTTGAAGACGTAATAGTGTAAAATATATAATTTTTAAAGTTTTCATTTAAAAACCTTTTTGTGTCATGGATAGTGATCTCTAGATACCTTCTTTTCCAGAGAAAGTTAACTCATGTGACCAAGAGAGGCAAAGTGCTCTTGAAGAGGCCAGGCAGAATCCCCGGGAAGGGATTGTTATTCCTGAATGTGCTCCTGGAGGACTGTACAAGCCAGTGCAGTGTCACCAGTCTACTGGATATTGCTGGTGCGTTCTAGTAGACACAGGTCGACCTCTACCTGGTACTTCCACCAGGTAAGAACCATTCCCTTTCCATTTTCCCTCTACAACAAGAAAGTGAAGTAAGAGAAAGGATACACCTCACTCTTTTATGTGACAAAGCGTTCCATATTCTCTTCTATCTCCAAATACATATAATTGCTTTCCAGTGTGTGAGGGTATTTTTCTCTTGCTATAATACATGCATGCACCCTTACTAGAAACGATCTCATGCCTTTTCTCCTAGAAAGGAGACATGCAGTAGTCTGTGGCTTAATGATATTAAGCCATATACGTATTCAGCATTGCCTGTGTCTAATTACTGACACTGTATGTGATTTAAATCCTCAAGATTCACCTCTTCTTCATATTACCTTCTTATACAACTGGTTTACAACATATTATTTCAGCTCAGCCTGGTGACAATCTTAATGTATAAGTATTTTGAACTGTTTGAACATATCGTATTAAAGCTTCTAGCTTTCTTTGATATTTCCACCTAAACTAAAAAATAAATGTGTTAGGTTTTTTAAGAGGCTGTGATATTTTTCTGATTTTAGGACAGATCTTAAAGAATTATTATCTGCTTAGGGCTGCTGAGGGTTCAAATTCAGCTCTTTGCTACCTGACTCTCAACCATCCTCATTCTATTACTCTGAATTTTCCTTTATCAGTGCATGCCTTTCTCATTGGAACATGATCCCAGTGTGTCTAGACTATATGTGCCTTAACCTCCCATTCACTATTTTTTTGTTCTCATATGTTCGTTGCACAGAACCAATGTTCTAATTTTCCCCCAAAATGGCATGGGGAATGTTTGTGTCTGTGCATGCATGTGCATTTTCATGTGTCCCTCTAATGCCCTATAGGGAGGCCATGTTGTCCTCCAACTCTTAGTTATTGGTTCTATCTATGATTTCTTTTAGCTCCATTGCTCTACATATACATATAATCCTTCTCTTGGATTTCTGTTGTTGTTATAATGATCTTTAATAGAGTACTAATTACAAAGAGAGAAGGTATAGTGAATCAAGTCTATTTAGCACTGTATTGCTGCAGAAGAGCATGCCAACCTAATATTGTTTCTGGGAATATTAGGGAGTATGAATTGTGGGTTCTTTAGTTCACACAGGGCAAGGCCACAGAACCAAATTCTGTTCTTCCCTCCTTATTCTTTGTTAATTGTCTAGAGCTGATCCTAGTGGAAAGACCTAGGTAGCCAGTGTTAGCACCAATGAAGAGCCATCTTCTGGTACAACCAAAGTTCCCACCTTGTGTCAGATATGTAAAACTGATAACCAAAAGGAACAGAAAAACAAATGCTGGTGGTAGTACTGCACTGCTGACACTGTGTTTTGTATTAGTACTAAGACATGGATCTCAAAGTATAAATGCTCATGTGGGTGGACCCCATATATTTAATGAGTTCCCTGAGGTCTCTCCAACAACCACTTTAATAAGCCAAACTGTAGTATGTTTGAGCCTGGTTGTTGATTTCTTCAACTGGGAAGTATGTTATGTGATAATGTCATACACTTAACCAAGGGTGATGTACAAATTTGCTATGTCCAGTTGGGCTCTAGTGGGAAAGAGAAGTGTGAGAACCCCTGAAATTCCATATGAACAATGAACTGTCTTTTCATCTCTTCCTCCTCTAGGTATGAGACCCCAGTGTGTGAAAGTGATGCCAGATCAAAAACCCCAGAAATTAATGACCCATTCAAAGACAGAGAACTTCCAGGTTAGATTCAGGAGAACTGTGTCTTATTCTGTCTAAGTGGCTTTGTCTTACAACAAAATCCTAGATGAATAAAAGTGGGGAGAAAATGCTGGTAGGATTGGGGAGTGGGAGCCCCAGATGGAGTTTAGTTCACCTACAGATGTGCAGCATCAACAGACACCCAAACGATATGTGACTACTCAGTAGACCATAAACATGGCCCAGAAAGAAAAGGAACTGTTTTTGCATGCTATTTGATCAAACTAAGCTTTTATTCTTTTCTTCAGGCTGTCCAGAAGGGAAAAAAGTGGAATTTATTACCAGTTTACTGGATGCTCTGACCACAGACATGGTACAGGCCATTAACTCGGCAGCACCTGCTGGAGGCGGGAGGTGAGTTTGAAAGGCATTCAGGCTGAACAGAAGCAGGGAAGGACAAATTTTGTGTATATATCTAGTTTTTATTATGAACATCGAGCAATTCCAGTAAAGTAATGCACAAGTAAAATCTATCCTCTAAATTCTGTCACAGGAAAACCAAATGGTCATACTGATTCATGCTTCCAAGTACCTGAAAATTGTCATGTTCCATTTGTGGTGTGAAATTGATCATCTTGTACTATTTTAAGACCAAAGTAGGACAGGGATGTGCAATTATATTGGTTTTGTTTATTTATTCAGTTTGTAAGAACTAAAATATGGTCCGCAGCCTCACCATTACGCCACCATGGCAATGATACTGACTGGTCTTGCGAAACACTCTTATAGTGCCAATGCTTATTTAATATGGTTTTATGTGGGCAAGCAGATGGCGACTACTGGATGGCATACATTCTGTATCAGAAACTAGAGCTGATGTGGTATATCCAATGCAATTTTCTGAATCAGCACCCCAAATAACAAAACCAAATCTAAAGTTGCCCAAAAACTGATTCATAACCCTTTTGGTACTAATGTTGGAGAGTGGTCCCTGGTCAAAGTGGCCCCTCATTAAAAAAAAGTTGGGAACCACTGATCTGATTTGAACCCTTTCATAGTCCAATGACAACCCAATACACCATGCTGGCTAATGTGAGGCAAGATACATGAACGTTAAAAAAATACAACACAGATTAATTAAATATATCTGTAATAACAGAGAACAGCTAAAAGCATAATTTGAACGTGCAGAAAAATATATAAAAACATATTAGATGATTTTAAAATAACACTCTCTTCAACATATGTTTAAGATACATTTGAATGGCAGAGAGCATTAATACAAAAGATTGCAAAAAGCGATGAGTTCTTTGTCTAGTGTCCATTTTTAAAAGATATCAACCAAATAGAGATCAGCTAGAATTCCACAGTTCAGGTAGCAACCAATGCTTGCTCACAAGTAGCTACTTACTATTGCTCAATATACAGGGAATCTGGAGCAAGGCCTTTGATGACAATCTTACATATCAAAACGTTGAGGGATTGTGGCTCTAAGCCATGAAGGGCCAATTCACCTATAAAGCAAGCCATTCTCTTTACATGAAAAGCAGCAGGAAGAGGGTGACTGCAAAACCTGCCCTTTCCTCCCTTGACCTCATGGTGTTATCTTGTGCTAAGAAATTTTTCCCCATTCTTAGTTCACTTCTAACTACTCTTAAGCTAGACTCCAAGAAATCTGTTTGAAGCAGTGGAACACAGTGAGCTAAACTAGAGGAAGAGAATAGACTTCTTTTTGTTCTGTATGAGTTTCTTTTCATGTAGAACCGTTGACATTTTTACTGAATACATTGGTGGAACTGTCACATTGACTTTGACCTTTTGAGTTGGTTCAGACAAAACTTCATCACCTTGCCTCATCCATAAAAGCTTATAGGGGCTTCAGATGACATTACTTCAGAAAACCCAGCAAGTAGAGCAAGATGGAACCATTTCACACTCCATCTTAAATGCTCACAAGAGGAAAATATCTTCTCAAAGTAGTCTTAAGCTGACTGGGAGTCCCCTCCCCCCAACAACTTATTGAAAAGTCAGAGAATGAAGATAAGAGAAAATGCCCTCAATGCTCTTGAATCCCCAATGTGAAATAAGAGACCAGACACAAGATGTGGAGAAATGGGCCATTTATTGACCTAATTAGAAACTGATAAGTGAGCTAATTGACTAGTTGTGGGAGGAGCACTGCGACATGGATAATGGTGTGAAGTCAGGTATCTTTCTGTGACCACATGCCAAACCAACCACTGGACAAAACACCTGACCCTGGGGGCAATTACTGGAAGGACCTCCACCTCGAACCATAACACCCCATAGGGGAGAGGCAACTCCCCCGCAAAGAAAGCCCTAAGGTAGATTTTTGGGGAACCCCCTAAGCCATAGAGCCTACAGAGATTAACCCAAAATTCCATTTACCCCAGAGTGGAGGGGTGCAAAGGTGTACACCAATCCAATCTCTCCCACCAATTCCTGCAAGGAACACCTGTTTATACAGCCCTACCCATTTAAATTCCTTGCTCCTGTCAGCCTCAATATGGAATTGCCAAAAAAACCTCCTCTCTGAGGAGGTAAAAAATTCCTACTCGGCCCTAGTGCGACCAGTACAACTCATATTGAACTGAGGGTAGGAGGGTGGGTTGTGCTTCTGGAAGGCCAAATGCAGAGGGGAGGGAGCTACCTGTAGGAAGGCCCTTCCCCTCTTCTACCTGGCAGGAATGCCAGCTGGAACCAACTGGTCATTCACGGGGGGGGGGGGGGGGGGGGGGAGATTCAAGTGCTCCCCTCCAGCCATCTGGTTGGCTCCTTCTATCTGGAGGTACCTGTTTTGTTTGTATGATGCCTGTCACTGATTAAACCTTTACTTTGAAAAAAGAAAAAGGAAGCTAATTTCTCATGGGTAGTTTTGCACAGCTTGATCTTATGTGTATTGATTCATTGGTGTTTACTATCAGGTTGATATAAACCCGATAGTAAACACCAATGCATCAGGTTGATGTACATTGGAATTGGTGACCCTTGAATAGGAATAATAAGAGCCAAAGTGTGTAATGTGAAAGGAATTCCTTTGACCAAAATTGGTTAAGAAGTCAAGTGCAAGGCCTTAACACATTCAGTAAATAAAGGAGGGGGTCCCCTTTGTGTACATGTGTAATTTATTTGTGAAAATCAGTTTAAAGTTTTTGTCTTTAGGGCACCACCATATTAGTATTGAAAAGTTAGCAAAGTATAGGGTCTTGTTGTTTAGATTATTAAAGTGAGGCCACAAGTCCTAGCTGGAAAGAAATTCAAGTGGAATTCAGATCTTTTAGCTTTCTGCAGCATTCGATCTATAATGTCTTATTTACTCATGCAGACTAGCAGTTAATGTTGAAGGTATTGGGCAAATTTTTATGGACAATCTTAAATTCTGTAGTTTCTGCTAGCATATCATAAAGGGGGGAAAATTGGGGCATGGTGAGAAATAAGCAATCTGACCTTTAGTTTCTCTTAAGGCAAATATTTCTGGGAATGATATTTGATATATTATTTTATACAGGGTTGACATCTTCAGTGGCCTCTATCTGATTTCTGTCTTGTTAAACATATTAGTTGCAGAATATCCACTAATGGAATGTTTTGCATTCCATTGGTACACCAGAATGTCCAATATGCAAGAATAACAAATATGCCTCCACGGGCTGATAAAAACTCTTGATTTAAGAAATAAAAAGCCAAAACTGCTGTAGGAGACCGTGGCTGTTTTTCTGGGAGGTCCTTTGTGAGGGATTTTGGAGAATGGGTCACATTGCCCAGGAGAGGAAAGGGCATGTGATGCCACATCAGTGAGAAAGAGTAGCCCCCTCCCTCTTTTTTGAGACCTTCCCTGTTTGCCTTATGCAGGAAAACTTTAACTCCTACAAGCCAATCTTACAAACTTCTACATACTTCTACTCATTCTTACCTCCTTTGTTTCATAGTCATCCTTTACTTATGCAATTGATAAGACTTTTTGTTTTAAAAAATCCAAAGGTCTTTGCCTTACACTTCCCATTCTCCCACCTTTGTCTAACATCTTAGGTGCTCCAATGTTCAGGAGATACTTCTGCTTCTGAACTGTTGATGGTGGAGCGACCAGGACTTAAAAGATTTGGTAACCATACCTTGGCAATAGTGTAAGGAGCTTAGGCTTTTTTACAATGCTATAAAGTAGCCCAGGTAAACAGAAACAAGTAGTTAGAGAACGTGGTTCCTTGGGTTTTGGAGCTTTCGAGACTCAGCAGACTCTTTCTTCTTCCAGTGACCTCCTAGGCACACAACTATTTTGGACTCTTTCCCCATCCATTAACCTCTAAATGGGATAATTTCTGGGTAATCAAAGCCTGTTCTAGTTTCCCCATACATAGGCCCCCTATCTTTGCCTTATATCAATAACAGCTTTAGGGATTTGAATAATCCTCTAAATCAGGAACTTCCCTTTAAAGAGGATTTATGTTAGAGACTTAACACTCTTGAGACCACACAAATTGCAAAGCAACTTTGAAAAAATTCAAAGCCTTCCGCTTTATCACAAGGGAAAACAGTATGCATGTCTATTGCATCTCTCCTTTCCCTCCAGTGGCTATTTCTACATCCACTGGAAAATGTAGAAGTAGATAATTACTGTAAGAACAGGTTATTCAATTTTGTTTTTCTACCATTGCTGTCCAAAGCCTTGGACCAGGTGCAGAAGCAGCCCCTCAATTATCACCTTCTGACTCTGGGTCGTGTTATATATTTTTCCTGTCAAGATGGGGTTTCCTTTGACGAGTGTTCAGAAAGTTCTGCTGGTCTGAAGAGCTGCAGCTGGAATGTTCAGACAGTTTACAGGAAACATACAATTCCCTTGTAACAACTACTACAGTGGTTGCCAATCTGTTCTTCAGGACAATTTGAAGTATTAACTTACTGTGTAATGCCCTATTTTAAATCAGTGTTTTCCAGTTCATTGTGTTCAATGCTTTTTAAATTTTCCATTACAGATTGTTTTAGCTATACTATTTTAATGTTCAGTGTAAGCTGCTTTGGCCCCTAATGAGAAAAATGGGATACAAATTAATTAAATAGACAAAATCATAGTCTAAACAGGAGATGGGGCCAGCAAGTACTGCTCTTATTGATATGATGTCACATGTCCCTGCCCCTGGCATCCTTTAGTTTAAGTTTTCAATCATGCGCCACATTCATTACAATGTTTGCCTCTTGATTTTCATGTGCCTTTTACAGTTTGTAATTTTACTGTAACAGCAGAGAATGGTAATTGACTGGTGTAGTGATGGTGGAAACCTTTAAAGTAAAACCTCAAAGATTATATGGCATAATTTTGATATCAGTACATGGGAGTTTTATATGGCACAGTGCTTCTTTCAAGAACCTGTATTGACCATTCCATACTAGAAGAAAGA